ACCCCAGTTCTGTATGAACAAATGAATCTTTAAAAAAAAAAAAAAAAAAAAATTAAAAAAAAATATATATTTTTTTTAAAAAGGAGAGATATTCTGAAAATCTAAGCCTCTGAGAAATAAAACCCCTTTATGACAATGGTGCAATGTAAGAATTGCATCTGGCTTATCAAATACCTTGATCAAATACTCAAAAAATTGTGGAGTGAAATATTTAGTGTTGAGAGAAAAATTGATCCAGCTTCCTGTGAAACTATCTATCCTTCAAAAGAGAAGAAAAAAGAATTTGCTATTTAGGAGTATTTTTGTTGTGACTGCACATGTTCTTTGAAATGTCAAAACAGTTCAGAACACAGCTTTACATAAAGGAAAGAAGAACATCAAAGAAGGAACAAGTTAAAAGTGAATAAAAATCTTATTTTTCTTATTCTTGATTGAATTAGTAGATAGTACTTTGAAATAATGACATTTTTAAACTATGAATGTCAGAATGATACAAAAGGAGGAATTAAGATTATTTGATTATTATAAGGTACTCTTTTGACCAGTGAGCAGTTTATAGTTTTATCATAAAAATTTGAAACAGGTAAAGGATGTTCTGGTTAATGCAATAAGACAAGATATGGAAATAAAAGATATATGGATGAGAAAGAAAGAAAACCATCACTGTTTGCATATGTCATGATTGTTCATGTGGAAAAGAAACAAACAAACAAAAAAACCAAAAAAACAAAAACCAATCCTTGAACTAAAAAAGTTATAGTGAGTTTTTAGGATACGTGGTTAACATGCCAAGAGCCTTCCTATATACTTGCAATGAACATGCAGAATTTGAAATTTAAAACTAAATACCATTTATATTAGAAGCCCCAATACAATATACTTAGATATACATGTAATAATGTAGAATATCTGTGAGGAAAATTACAAAATTCTGATGAAGATATCAAGATGAGTTAAGCATATGGAGAGATATTCCATGTTTATGGACAGGAAGGCTCCATACTATTACATATTACAGTCTTAATTCTTTCTAACTTGATTTATAGTTTTAGTACACTCCCAATCAAACTACCAGCTAGCTATTTTGCAGATATCTTAAACTGACTCTAAAGTTTATATGGCGAGACTCAGAAAAGACTCAGAATAGCCAATGCAATGTTGAAGAACAATAACATAGAAGGACTAACACTATTTGAATTCAAGATTTATAAGTATAATCTGACATAATCTAAATCTTATGATTTTTGACTGAAATTCCTTAACTGTATTATCAAGTTTGTAGACACATTATTATTATATATAAGAAAATATGTCATTTGACCCTTCACATGTCCAAAATATGTATTTGTCATATGATTTGGTCTTTGTCCATGGTTCCTGGACCACAAATCTCCCAAATTTTTGCTAAGTTTTGAGAACGATAAAGATCTCTTGTTATCTTAATGAGGTGACTTTTAGGAAGCACCCAAGGATGGGGTTGGTTGCCTGGAGAACTGTAATTCCCCCTTACTACTCTCCACATACCAGGAGGGGAGAGGACCTGGGGGCTAAATCAAATAAAAATGGCCAGTGATCTAATTATTAGTGTCTGTGTAATAAAGGCTCAACAAAACCCCCAAAGGACAAGGTTTTGTGTCAGTTCTGGATTACTGAACAGGTGGAGGTGCTGGGAGAGTGGTATGCTTGGAGAGAGTATGGAAGATCTGTGTCTTTTCTCCTTATCTTGTACCATCCAATCTCTTCCATCCAGACATGCATCTGTATTGTTTAACTTATCATTTTGTAAACTGGTTATCCAGTAAGTAAAATATTTCTCTGAGGTCTGTGAGCTGCTCTGGCAAATTAATGAAACTCAAGGAAGGGCTTGTAGGAACCTCTGTTTATATAACCAGTTTTGGTCAGAAGTGGAGTTCATGAAACAGAAAATTGCTTATTAAAGTATCAGTTCTCCATCCCCACATAGTTAGAACAAAAAATGTTATTTGAAAATATCTTTGGTGACTTGTTATTTCCATCAAAGTCTAAAAATCAGTAACATAAATGCTAATGGTACTTAATGCTTTAAAATAGTAAAGTCAAAAAAAAAAGAAGTCACTCAAGTCTTCTTATAAAGATTAAGACTTAAATTTTTTTACTATGAATCTGGTTAAAATGTTCAATAGTACCTTCAAAAATAACTGTAAAGTTTAAACTTTATATTGGAAACCTTTCATTAGAATATTTCACAGCTATGGAAATAAGATAGGTCTAAGCAGACTTACCATTGGTAATATCAGGTGGTGCATAGCCATCATTCATATACATACTTGTGGGTTTTGCCACTTTCAAATAAACAAAATCAGATGTGTTCTTTAAGGCAGTTACTGCTTCTTCATGAGTAACTTCTTCTAAGCATACACTATTCACCTAAAAAAAAAAAAAATCCCAGAAGACATTTATTTCACTTACTCTCTGCATCCATCTTAGTTATAAACAATTATACCAAAAGATAGAGAAAATGTGAAAGTGATTTAAAGAACAGATGGAAAGAAACTAACCATTTTTATTATCTAAGGTGTTAAAAAGTTGTGGGCCCTCCCTGGTGGCACAGCGGGTTAAAGCACAGCACTGAGAATCTGAAGCCACTTCCGCATGAGTTCGATTCCCGCCTGCCGCCTGCCCCGGGGGAGACCACATGGCGAGCCAGACCTCTCCTGACCCGCCCGCTGCTCCCCTCAGCAGTGTACTTCGTCAATCTGCCTGTTCTGCTCCCCACTCTGTCTCTGGTGAAGCCTCTCACCGTCCCTGAGCCTCTGGCCTGTACCCCAGTTCTGTATGAATAAATAAATAAATCTTTAAAAAAAAAAAGTTGTTTGTGATTGCAAGTTAAAGAATTTATGCACTTTAATGGAATAGTCAATCTTGACTCTAGCCCCTGTTCCCCTGATCTCCAAGCCTTTCTATTTTTAGGCACTTAGGAACTCTGTGGGTATGTTTTAGTGTTATTTTTAAGAAAAGGAGATAATATTAAAGTTTCTGTTTACAAATGAATATTTAATGTAAGGTATTTTAGAGATCGTCTTATATTGGGACACACAGAAGTACCTAATTTTAAAAAGCTGTTGCACAATGTGTGTACACACTGCACTGTGTGATCATAATAATAATTTATTAAGCCACTCCAGTATTAAAAGATACCTCAATTACTCTTCTAGATAAATGTAGTCACTAATATAGAACATGAATGTGCCCATCTACTCAGACTTTTGCCAACAATAAATGTCTAAAAAGTCTATAAAATGATGAATGGTTAGAATGCAGAAACACTTAATTCAAAGGGATATATGCACGCCTATGTTTATTGCAGCACTACTTAAGATAGCCAAGTTATGGAAACAACCTAAGTGCCCAATGACAGATAGTGAATTAAGATGTGGAATTACTACTCAGCTATTTAAAAAAAGGTAAAATCTTGCTTTCTGTGACAGCATGGTTGAACTGGAGGGGAAATATACTAAGTGAAATAAGTCAGAAAGAAAAAGACAAATGCTGGGTGATTTCACTCATATGGGATATAATAAAAACAAGAGGGCAGACAAAAATAAACCAAAACAAACCCCAAACATCTGATTGCAGAATTGAAGCTACTGGAGGAAACGAAAAAAAAAAAGACAGGGTGCAAAGTGGGGAGGGGACCCAATGGACTGACTATGGCAGAGGATTATGAATGTTTTGGTTTTGGGTATGGTGTGGTAACACACATCTGAAGAGGTGTGAACCTATACCTCTAAATCATATACACTGTTGTAAAACAATGTTACCTCAATAAAAAAAATACAATTTTAAATGATACCTGATTTAATCTGGACTTGTCTTAAAGTATGTATTTCCATTGCTAACAGTCAAGTTGAAACATTTTGCAATTACTTATTAGCCATTCATCTACCTTCTGTATAGGAACAACTAATTTTTAGATAGTGAAGTTATATCCCGGCAACCTTACTAAACTTGTTTATTCTATTTGTAGGTAACTTGGGATTTTCTACATATATTATGACATAAACTGTAAACCTAGTTGTGAATTCCTTTTCATCTGAATGTCATCTCATTACCCTGGGTAGAGATGAATATAAATGGTAGTTTGTATATTTCTAGAAATTTGATCATTTCATCTAAGTGTTGCATTTAGTTGTTCATAAACATGTGTCCCCTTTTTAATGCCTAATGTTAGAGATTTAAGTCTTTTTATTCTTGGTCAGTCTAGCTCAAAGTTTGTAAATTTTGCTAACCTTTTCAAAGAAACAAGTTTTGATTTTGTTAATCTCTGATTTTCCTGTTCCTTAGTTCATTAATTTCTGTTCTAATCATCATTCTTTCCTTTGTTCTGCTAGGTTTAGATTTAGATTGCCCTTCTTTCCTGTAATATTTTTTCAAAAGAAATCTATGTTTCTAAGGTTTTAAATTATAATGTACTGAAACAAATCTTAGTGTTAGGGTATTTTTCATCTTCCTACTTTGTACATTTATAATGAACAGAGGGAGAGTTTCTTTTTTTAAGTTTTATTTTTATTTATTTATGCATACAAGAACTGGCATATAAACTAGAGGTGCGGGGATGAGAGGATTCACCCCAGTCAGAGTGGGGAGCAAAACAGGCGGATCTACTTGATATACTGCTGAGGGGGAAGTAGGTAAGACATAGGTAAGACAGAAGAGGTCTGTAAGGTCACGTGAGTTAGCCCCTTGGCTGGTGATCAGACTCATGGTACACTGCCTGGATAGTTTGATAGTGCTGAAATTATAACCCCTATGCTAGTAGGGAGGCCCTGTTTTTCTTAATGTTTCTTTCCCCATTGATTATTATTGATTTGCAGGGCTTCAGCTGCATGGTTATTTTTATGGTCTCATACTACCACATAAGGTCTTCTACCACATAGAAGGACTGCTTGCATTTTGAAGTAAAGACTTGTGGTATAGTATTCCTTTGGTGGTGTGCAATGAGTTGTGCATCTTAGTATTTTTTATTCTTGTAAAAACCCCTTCCTACACTACTCTTGCTTGGCTATGTAATTAGCTTCAGCCAATGAGATATTAGTAACTGTGAAGCAGAGAGAGGATTGAGAAGTGCCAGTCATTGAAAATTGTCATTTTTGGCCTTCCTTGGTCGCTCAACAGGTTAAGCGCAGCAGTGCAAGCTAGCCATAGCCCCTTCAGTGCGAGTTCCATCCCCGTCCCATCGGTGATCTACCTGGTGCAGCACACCTCTCCTGTCTCACCCGCTGCTCCCCTCAGCAGTGTACTTCATAGATCTGCCTGTTCTGCTCCCCACTGTCTCTGGTGAATCCTCTCACCGCCCCTGCAGCTCTAGCCTGTACACCCAGTTCTGACTGCATAAATAAATCTTAAAAAAAAAGAAAAAAATTGACTTCTTGGAAAGCTTGCATTATGTGAATCAATTTGGAAGTGAATCCCTGGTCCTAGTTAAGTAACTACATTGCATAATATGTGGAATAAAAATAGGCAATCCTGCCTGGATCCTACACTAATTGTAGAAGTATAAGCAAGCAAATAATGGTAGTTATTTAGCCAGTACTTAGACAGTGATATAATTAGATAGTGATAGACAGCATTAGGCAGTGATATTGTCAGACAACATTAGACAGTAATGTAATTTTTGTATTTTCTTCTGCAGCATTAGATAAGTGATATAACTGATAAGATTTCCTGAGTAAGTCAATTTCAATATGAAAGGAAGAGGGTAATACAAAGCTTTTATATCTGTGCAAACATAAAAGGATAAACTGTGCATTTAGTGAGATGTAAAGGTTGTAGAGGAGCAGGATTGAAGGGTGGGAAGGAACCAGAAGTTCACTTTCCGATATATTAAATTTGAGATGACATTTGAGGTGTATAAAAGGAGACTACATGAAATATTTTAGGACTTTTTTTTTAATGTTCTGATACGAACCACTGTTAAAATATTTTGATATTTCCTCAAGAACAAAATGAGTGTAGGTATACCAATAAAACTAACATTCAGAAGATAGTAGTTATCCCCAAATGTGCAGAGACCATTAGTTACTTGACCATCTATTACAGAGAGAAGAGAAAATGTATAGGGACTGAATCCTGGATCACATCAATGTTTAGTGATTAACGAGGTGAAGAATTACTATAAGGAGAATGAAAATGAGTGGCTGGTGGGATAAGGTTTCTAAGATACTGAGTGACAAGGAAAACAAAAAAAAATGAAGGAAGGTGTGAAAAATGACTAGTAAGAAGTCTAGAAAGATCACAGCAGAGTGGACTCCAGGCTTGCCTCCTCACAACTAAACTCCAGAAAACAAAGCCAAAAATCTCTTGAGGAAAAAATGTCCATTAGAGCACAGAGTAAAAAGGGTTAGCAAAAACTTTTAGTTAACTAGATTCAGAGTGATAATGGGGTGGTGCAAGACACAGGAGAGAGGAGCAGCTGCAGATATCCAATACAGATATCCAATAGGGCACGTATCAATATCTGCGTCTCCCGAGACACTATACTAGGTAAGGGAGCACAGGAGCTGGCACCCTGGATAGGGTGCACTGTTGGAGAGCTGCAGAGGTGGGGATGTAGAGAGTTACTGGCTTGATCCTCAGGCTCTCAATACGCACAGCTGGAATCTTAGTCAGCAGGGAGAACAGGTCAAAACAGCTGGGTCCCAGAGGAGTTATACTACAAAGTCTTGTTGTCTATGTGTTGTGTTTCTTGTATATCTAAAAGTAAACTTCTAATTCTTTCTCTTCCACAGCTGTACAGTCTTTACTGTTTGGGCCCCTGGATTACTAAATCAGATTTGTTTCCCAGATTAGGTAAATTTTAGTAACTGTTTTTTTAAATAATTTTTCTATGCCTTTTTCTTTTTGTCTCCTTCTGGGATGCCATCATATGGATGTTATTTCTTTCAGTTGTCCCAAAGGACTCCTACATAGTATTTAAAAAAATTTTTTTTTTCTCTACATTGTTCTATTTGTATGTATTCTTCAATGTTTTCTTTGTGGGTTAAGTCACCTCATTGCTCTCATCTATCTGCTACTGGGACCCTCAGTTATATATTTTTTAATCTGCCATACATAAAGTTTCTTAGCTCTATTAATTCTAATTGTAGCTGCTTCATACTTCCTTATCTTTAGTCTCTCATATTCTTCATTGTTTTTTGGAGTTCCAACAACATTGCCTGAATTTCCCCTGTCATGCTCCCCAACTCCAGCATGCTGGGGGATCCTCTTGGGGTTTTTCTTGCTGCACGTGTGGTATGTTTGTCTGTCTCCTTATTTTCAATTTTTTTTTGTGGCTTGTAATAGAGATTTTTCAGACTGTTATCTTTGTACCTCTTGAAGTAATCTGAGTACTGGTACCAGCAAGGGGTAGTAGATATAAAATAGGGCCAGGGCAGTAGGGGGCACCAAAGGATTACCACCAGTGGCACCTGGAATTTGAGCTTGCTATCTTGCTTTGGGGGCCAAGGTTGTGGGATGGGAATCCACAATGATCTCCTCCTGTAGGCCAACTCCTCAGTCTTTGTGTCTTATATAGTCTCATGTCTACATCCAATCTGAGCTATTAAGCACTAGCTGCAGCACTGGGCAGGATTATAGTCCAGGGCTACAGGCCAGGAATTGTTCTGATTTATTTTCAACACAGACTTATCCTGAGTTGTTTGTGCCTATTACTGGTGGGTTCTTGAACTCTGGTATATTCAAGCATTTCTGTGTTTTGGTTGTAGCCCTGGGATGGGAGGTGGAAGTTGTTCTGAGTATCTCAGGCTGGACTTTGAATAGTAGGTGCTTTTTATAAGGAGACCCAGGTGTTTTGATCTACTTTTCTCTGCTGATTAAAACTCTAGTAGTTGTTTTGTAAAGGGTCTCTGGCTCAAGGCAGTAATTCGTCTCTTTATCCCCACCTCTGCAGTAAATTTTCAATAAGACTACAAAGACAAAATTATACCTAGTACTTTTTCTAACCATAATGTCATAAAATTAGAAATTAAGAAAAATACAGGAAAACTATGAATACATGGAGACTAAACAACATGCTGCTTAATAGCTACTGGATAAAGGGTGAAATCCAAGCAGAATTTAAGAAAAACCTTCAGCTTCACCAAAATGATGATATAAGTTACAGAATCTATGAGATGCAGAAAATGTGGTCTTAAGGAGGAATGCAATACTGGCCTACATTGAGAAGCAAGAAAAATCCCAAATAAGCTAACACTATACCTAGAGCAATTTGACAAAGAGGAACAAACCAAACTCAATGTTAGTAGAAGGATATAATAAAGAGAAATAATGAAACAGAGATAAAAAAAGACAATGTAAAAAGGATCAAAGAAACTAAGAGCAGTTATCTCTTTAAACTATTATCTTCTTTAAGAAGATAAACAGGAAATAAAATTAGCTAGGCTAACAAAAAAGAGAAAATATTAACAAAATCACAAATGAAAGAGGAGAAATCACTATAGATATTATAAAAGATCATAAGAGATGACTATGAACATCTACATACCAACAATAACTTTGATAACCTTGGATATTAACAGATATATTGAACAAACCAATCACAAAGGCTTGGAAATTGAAACAGTAATAAAAATTCTTCCAAAAAACCCAAGCTTAGGTGGCTTTACAGATGAACTTACCAAACATTTTTTTTAATTTTTATTTTTTTTCT